GGGTCATTTTTAGCCAAATTTTAGCTGACGTCATTTGTGAACGGCCCCTATTAGTGTCAAAGGAACAAACGGGGACAAAGTTTGGCGGGGTTCCGGGATACCATTAAGACGTTGTACTGCTTCATTGTCACGTCGTTATTGCGTGTCTGAAGGTGGTTGAGTTGAAGCTTCGTGCGTTTTCTCGAGGACATACGGCTTGGTTTTGGTTTTATGGGATTCGTCATGTCGAATGATGGGTTTATTTTAAAAACATTAATTACTTGGGTTTTTTTTAAACGGACCCCCCGTTGCATAGTGTTTCATGCTTCAAATGTTGATGTTATTCAATACACATGTTGTTTTTATTTTTTTAAAGATTTATATATCATATTAATATTGTTTTGTTGTTGTTCAAAATCTGATATCTTGCACAAGTTTCCAAAACTGCCTTTCAAGTAGGCCTAACTGATCTCCCACGTCATTAAAAAAATAGCAGAACACAAAAAAAAATCTGAGAGGTGAAATCAGGCGCAAGCCAAAATAATGAAATAGAAGAAAACGACAAGAAAAGACAGCCATTTTTTGTGTGAATTTTTAATCAAATTTTTGCTTTTTTGGCTCCACACCTTTCATGCCTATTAAAGAACATATTTCTGTGGGGATTTTACTGAAAAACGTTGATTAAAGCGACAAAACATGTACATTTTCAGTGTCCACGGACTCTCAAGAGAAGGTTACAACTCGTATTTGGTGTCCATTTCCTAACTAATTTTACCTCTGAAATCAGGTGACCCCCACCTTCATTCACAAATATCTCGACTTCTATTCAAGACAAATGGATATTTTTTCCATCTAAAGCAAGACAAATGAAGAAGCTTTAAGATGATACCAAAAAACTCTACATGCTCAAAAACTGACGAGAGCCTGCTGATACCACGCGTCGTCACACACACACATACATATACACACACACACACACACAAAACTACATACATACACACAGACAGACAGTTAAACTTTGTTACCTCACAGTACACAAGGTCAGCTCCATAATCCAGGGCGAGCAGACGCATGGGTAAGGTACAGACCCGGACCATTGGGGCCAGCATAACCTTCCCTGTATACATGGCTTCATCTCTCACACTCATCTTAAGTTTAGAAATATGCCTGAAAAAGTCATTAAAAGATTTAATTGGCTACTGACAGGGATATCAAACAACTTCAAATTCAAATAGCAATAAATAAATCATCAATGACCAAAGTCGCCTTTTGGTGCATCAGGGCTAGTATTGTTTTCTATAATTCTATTCTTACTGACAGTGAGTTCTAAAATTTCTCAAGAAACATCCATAGAAGCTTTAATTTTCATAATTTTTACTACCCTGTCATCTGATGACAGTTATAGGGGTGTGTCTTGTTTATTTTGCTTGATAGTAATGAGAGCGTCTCTTCCAGAAGTGTTGTTGTCGCTCAATACAAACACAGTTATAACTGCCACACACGGTGGTAGTGAATAAAAGAAGTGAGAAAATAAAGCACTTTTAAACTAAAGACTTTAGTTTAGAATGTTTTTTCTGATCAATTATTAATTGTAGATCTAATGTTTAGAGTGTTCCCGAGTTTATCAACATCCGACAGCACCCTTCCCTGAGGCTCCAGATTCTTGGCAGGTCGCTGTGGTTGCATACTGCACGTACACAGACGTAAGTTATTTCCAAGCTTGCTGATTACGTATTCTAACAGTGCATCGACTAGCAGTTGTAAGGCTGTCAATGCATTTTATGAAGATGTGTATACTTGTACTAAACACAAAGCAGTATGTAGTGCATGTAGCATCAGTACAAAGCAAAGCACTGAGCCGCTCAGCCTCTCTGTGTGGGGGTAGGCCGCAGTGCCGCCATGGCGTCTAGTAAGGCAGGGTTTTGCGTAATGGGGTAGCGTGCGACCTGCCACTCTGGTGGCTAGTCGGGTCAACGAGGGATCATGTATCAACACTGCTCTTTTGCCAGTAAATGATGAAAGAGAGCTCAAATAGAGTTGTTATGTTATAGATCTAGGCCTACTCTGTAAAGAGCCTGCTGGGCATTATCTTTGAGTAAACTATTATAGTATCTTTGTGTAAACTTTAAAATTGTCAAGATGATCTTTATAGATGAAAAATGTTCTATGCAGTGCTGTTTATGTTTGTGTAAAGGCAAGGAAACAATTTCCACAATGATTTACTTTAATTTCAGAAACCCAAATGGAAACCTATACAGTAGTCTCCGCCTAAACGCACGCCACACAAAAGCATGCTCCACTCAAATGCACGCTTTCGTCATCTGACGGGTTTTTCACTATACAATTTAGACGTACAAACGCACGGTCACTCCCTCTAAACGCACGCTCCGATCTGTGAAACACACAGACAGGTAAAGCTTGACTAAGGGAAATTTTCACTACGACAAGCCTAGAAAACCGGATATTTGGCGAGACTGCCCCTTACGCCGAACAAAGAGAGCGATGGACAGCGTTTTCCCACCCATCTTTCCACAGAAACATAAGTCTAGGACTCTCTAGGACTTGTCGGTGAAATGTTGGGGGGTTGGGGGACTGAAACGTTATTTGATTGGTCACTGGAAATGTATCTCTTTTGAGAGAAGGTTTGAATAGGTGTGTGTGTGTGGGGGGGTGCGCAGAAAGACAGATTTGATGTAATGAATGAACCATAATGTATACAGGGAATCTTTTACAAAACAGTCACGTGTCGTCACATTATCGGCCAAAGTGGCCCCCACCCCAAAGGGAGGTAACTAGTATACCAAGGCAATGACATGACTGCGTCCTTTCCTTCCTTCGCTAAGGTTCATGTACACGCACGCTCCGTTTAAACACACGCTAAGGAGCCATCCCGAGCACCGTGTGCGTTTAGGCGGAGACTACTGTACACAAGTGATCCCGGAACGAGCAATTGAGTTAGTCAAAGTAAAACACATGTCTTTGAACAGTGCCTCGAAGACCTTCAACGTCCCCTACTCCATGCTGGGGACAAGATCAGAAGACCAAAGCCAGTCAAAGCCCAGCCAAAGACCATCCCGTCCATCGAAGAGGAGCTGAAGCTCGTGGCCTGGCTCCAGGAGTTGAGAAAACGTGGCTTTAGCCGCACACGTGAGCACCTGAAGGATGTGGTGAAGAAGATCCTTGACGCACAGAAACGGACAACCAACTTCAAGGACAACAGGCCTGGGAAAGACAGGGTCCAGGCCTTTTTAAGTGTCGTCCCCAACTATCTGAAAGGGCATCGCAGGCTCTCGGAAAACAGAGGGCTGTTGTGACGAGGGACAGCCTGCATGCCTGGTTCCAGGAGATGAAGGAGTACATCGATCAGCAAGACCCTTCCCTCTTCACGTCCCCATACCACATCTTCAAAGTGGACAAGTCAGGCTTCAGTGTTTGCCCAAAGACCAAAAAGGTGATTAACGAAAGAGGGGCCAAGCGTGTCTACACCATAACTAGGGGGTCACGGCAGCAGGTCACCACCCTTGCCTGCATCTTTGCAAATGGGCAGTACCTTCCACCTCTCCTCATCTTTCCCTACAAGAGGGATCCACTATACAATGCTCTTGAGGACTTTGAGCAAGCATTCTTCAACAAGGGAGACAATGGATGGATAACTGAGGGCGTTTTCCTCAGTTTTCTTAGGGATATTTTCATCCCTCACTTAGAGAGAGAGGGCATAAAGAGGCCTGTCGTTTTGTTTGTCCACAGCCACTCCAACCATCGCTCGCTTGAGGTCTCAGACCTCTGCAGCCAGAACGGGGTAATATCAAAAGGCCTAAAGGCCCATACCAACCACCTGATACAGCCTCTAGGCCAGTCTTTCTTCAGGGCCAACAAGCCAGCGTGGCAAGAGGAGGTGAGGAAGTTCGTGACTAACACCTTGGAATCCGTCACACTGAGGACATTTGCCGGCGTCCTGAAGAAGGCCTGGACAACAGCAGCTCGGCCAGAAACAGCCATGAGGGGATTCACCAAGTCAGGGCTGTTGCCCTACAACCCTGACATTGTCCTCACAAGTGACAAGCTGAAACCTAGCTGCACCTTCACAAGGTCCCCTGCCCCTACCTTCCACTTGTGACCACCTCATCTCCCTCTGCCCCATCCACCTCGTCTGCCTCTGTTCCATCCACTTCGTCTGTCTCTGCCCCACCCACCTCTTCTGCCTCTGAGCCATCCATGACGTCACAAACTTGCTGTCATCGACTCAATGAAATATTCTCCATGAACTTTAAGCTTGGGGAGGAGAAGGTGGACCAGTACCTCAAGAGGTATGACAATGGATACGACCTCAAGATCGACCCCGACTACAACATGTGGTCCAGTCTGATGGACAATATTGAACAACTGGCTCCTCCGCTCCCCCAGCCATCAGCAAGAGTCCTGGAACCTCAGACCCCCTTTAGGCAGACGACCATCGACAAGGTGCTCACATTGCTGTCATGTTCAAAGAACAAGGGCGTTAAAAGGCCTCAGCCACCTGAGCCATTGTCCATCAGTGGAAATGACTATAAGAGATTATATTCACAAAGAAGAGGAAGGCGGAAGAAGAACAACAGCAAAGAAAGAAGCAAAGGGAGCAGAGAAAGATGGAACGCCTAGCATATAAGCTGAAGAAAAGAGGGAACGCCAAAAAGGAAGAAAATGATAAGGGAGCAAGCGAAGAAGGAGAAAGAGGAGGAGAATTCAGGAGAAGAACACGAATGCTTTGGTTGTGGCCTCACAGTAGAAGAAAGAGGATGAAGGGAGAAAACTAGGGAGAAGAGCCGGTGTATGACGACAGCTCCGACGATTGAGAGGACATTGCGGTCGACTGTGCTTGGTGTGGACCTACCACTGCAGGACAAGTAGAGCACACCCAGTGCATACTTTGTGACAAGTGGTGGCACGCCAACTGTGTCAAACAGATGGACCTGAAGGACAAGACTCAGGAAGACCTGGATGCCATGGACATCGAGCTCTTTTGCTGTGTTGAAGTCCTAATCTCCCCATCCCAATTTGTTTTAATACAAATAGTGTGAACAATAACTTTGTTTATCTATGTGCACTTAATAAATCCATATATGTAGATCTACTTTGCTGTTCTTATATAATTTAATTCATGATTTTCATTGTTATCTAGACTCACTACCAGATTACTGTTTACATTGTAAGTGTTGGATTCAGTTATTTTGGGTTTTTTTTTTCTCTTTTGGCTATACATTAAAATTGAATGTTACTTGAAACTAACTCTTGTGTATAATTTGTAAGAATATTTCCTCCTTTGTGATATGAAAATCATACACACGTCAGCCTACAAGATTCATAATAATAAGTTATTAGGGCATGTTACAAGACTCTCCCTATCCTAACGCGCAGCCCCTCCAGCAGGAACGTGTATCCCCGCTGATTGTCACACACATCCGTCCTCACTTTGCCACACAAATACTACTACTGAGGGAGGAGGGCAAACGAAGCAGGCATATTGAGCTGGGCCGACCATAGCAGACGAAATCTGCTTCTCATCAGTCACTGAGGGGTTACACCTCCCCTCTCACCGGGGACTGGCAAGGTGACTTTATATATACTTAGGGTAGCGTGGACTACCGCCTGCACTCTATAACGTGGCAGTAAAAAATGTAAAGTTGTTCCCGCATCCGATCTGGACATTGGGGATTGCCTTATTTTTGAGACTACTTCCTGGGCCTTCGGCATTATTGTGGTAGGGTGGCCAGTTCCTTTCCACGCCCCCTTTATTATTTCTGAAACTCAAAGTTAGATACCCAATACTGCTCGGTGTCCGAAACGAGGCTCGAACTGGACTTTCCTCTTCGGAGACAAGCGCACTAACCACTCCGCCAGCGCACTTAGATCTAGATCTAGTAAGAGAATAAAATTGCAGAAAACAATGTCAATAGGCATAGTATCTATAGGCATAGTCATCTGGGAAACCTGAGGGTCCAATCTTATTTTTGCTGTGCGAATCTAGATTGTAGATCTACTAAGTCTAAACAAAAACATTGTCATCTCGAAAATAGAGCCAACACTCAACAATACAACAATGTCTCCGCCTTCCGTCTCTTCCTTTCTCTAGCGGAAGCCAACTGTTGTTACAACATGCTGTTAAACGTAGAAAAGACGCATATTTCTGATTGGCTGCTAATTTTAGTACTATGATGTCATCACTCCCTGGGATACCCACATGGACCGACGTGTTTTCGGTAACATTTCGGATTTCCTAGATCTAGATTCGACATGATGGAAGACCGCACGAAAATTGCCGTAAAGACGCAAGAGGATTAGATCTAGATCTATCTAGATCTAGATCTATTTAAATCTAGATCTACCCCCCCCCCCCTCCTGCATTTTAAACTCTTATAGACCGGCATTATTTACCCTGGATTCACCGGAATTAAATCATGGCTGACCAAGGGAAATCACATATGATATTTTCTTTTGTGTTTTTAGTGTGTTTCCCTGTTAGTAATGTACACATATTATACATCATTGTAAAGGGCATTGAACGTAGAATAAGATTAGTATAAAAATATTGAAATTCAAAGGAAAATGTGTTAGTTTTGAAGAGTTACATAACATTACGAAATTTAAAAAAAAGAGAAAAATGAAAAAAAAATTTCTTCTTTCCGTGACAAAGTCAGACTCACCACTTTCTACTACTAAATCTGTGTTATCGATAAGTTCTCTCAGTAATTCACTTGCTTTCTCAGCAGTGTGCCTTACCAAGCGTTTACCTGACGACCCAGAAAGCTTATTCTTTGGCATAATGAAAATTTCAGAAACGACACACGAACCCCAACGCAAAACAAAGCTCGAAACTCGCATCAACGCACTGTAAACAATTGAAAATCCCCGCTATATTTTTTACAAACGGTGGATGTGACCTTTAACCCATGCTAAACCCATCGGAGAAAACTAGTATCGGTTTCATCTTCGTCTTTGAATAAGGAAATAAAAACAACACAGTATGTATCGTCCCGGCTGATGGCGGTCGGCGGAAACAACACAGTATGTGTCGTTACGGCCCATAAGAGTTAATCACTAACTAATATATTTAAAAAGAAAAAAAACAACTTCAAAGCAGCTCTACAAATTAGGCCTATAATTTATGCGACTGTTGGTCAGTCGGGAGGATCGAGGAGAAGAGAAAAAACAACTGTCCGGAGCCGGGATCGAACTGCTCCAAAAATCATTGCACGACTTCCGACGCAGACGCGCTGTCCATTCAGCCATCAGAACTTCCCAGAAAATAGAAAGAGGTGTAGATTAAGCATCATATACATAGACACTTCCATCTTTGGTGCCATGCGGTTGGCTATACTTAGATGTAATCACCTGATCGGAGGGGTATCCTGGTCTGACAAGATGGGCGCCTTACCTAAAAATAGTTTGCGTCCTTTCTACGTTTAATAATTGCATGTCCATCACTCTGGTCCATTCACTTCAAATAGAAATCAGATCATAGAGTCAAAATATGTAGTGAATGGAGATATCGATTATATTATCACTAACAACAATTTCTCTGTTAGGGAAAACAGTGCAGAGTCCTTTCTTACCATAGGCAACGGAATATCTCCCTGCTCTTGCAGCATGTGGTGATGTTGTTTATATTAATGTACCGTGTTGAGGTGTGTGGCAGCTTACTGCAGTCTGCAGTTTGTAGCCTAAATTATTTTGTATGTTCCGTTTCGTTACCCTTCTAAACACAAACACTTTAATTAATTAATTTTTTCTTTCCACTTCACAAGGCTATCAACAAAACAAAAACACACTGCAAAAGAACAAATATTATCAATTGTAAGCATGCATATTTGCCCGCTTACACTTTTAATGAGCCAAAGGTATTATATTTGCCCACTTTATGATTTGTGCCCACGAGGAACGCAGTATGATAGATCTATATCTAGAATCTAGATCTAGATTCTATATTAGATCTAATCTAGATTTAAGAGTATGCGCGTGAAATTGGGTTCCTCACAGAGATTTCGTATTTTAAAAAAATTAAAGATAAGAGAGCAGAAAAGAATGATTACATATATATAAAGTCTAGTCAGAACAGCGTATTTTGTATTTGTTGCTTCACTGACAAAAGGGAACAGGCAAAGACATTCTCTAAAAGTCAAACGAATGTTGGGTTTTGGTAACACTTGAGAAGTTCTAAAGGAACAAGGCCAAGAAGAGGACACCGGCAAAGAGTGGAAACCGAAAACCTTGAACCTGAACCTGCCATGGTGTGAGAATCTGGATCTATAACGTTTGGTTAAAAAACCGGCCAAACTGGAACGCAGTGCAATTTCGAACCAATGAAATCGGAGATTTTCTCCGCCATTTTCCTGTCCTCCGTGGCATGTAGATCTACATTTGGCGGTTGTCCATGTCGTTGATTAAAGTAGTTTTAGGCCAACGATTGAAACGTAAGAATTGATGTTATCAATATATTTTTTTAAAGCTCGCCGTTGTGTCTAAATGTAGTTGTCATGATCTACCTTTCTTTATTCCCGAAGAAGTGTTTGATAATTTGTTTGTCGCAGTGTTGAAAGCTATTAGTCCGCCATTATTGTCATTGGCGGTTTTAGTGGTTCGGCGGTCGAAGATTTTTCGTGTTTTTATTTTGGTGGCCGAAAAACCCGCAAAATATTTTAGATATCCAGCCTAGATCTAGAATTCTAGATTCTAGATCTAGAATCTACTGTGAAGAAAAAAAAAGGAATATAATAAGAAATAATAACTTAACGTTTGCTCATCTTTTAGTTGCTTAGCTGGAAAATGTAGATCTAGGCTACAGATCTACAAATATAGATTTAGAATTCTAATGTCTTTATTACTTTATTATTAGGGAGTGTATACAGACCCGGTAACCGGGAACAAAGTCACAAAACACGAAGTATACAGACCCGGTAGGGGAACTCTTTTGTGATTTCGGAAAGTTTCAGCGCCCTCTTGGCTCAGGGTAGACCTAGGTTCTTCTGGTAGATTTATGGCCTAGGCTAGATCTAGATCTAGACAGACAGACATAAATCCTTGGTCTAGTTTCGAGGCTAGCCTAGATCTAGATTCTAGATCTAGAAAATCTAGATCAAGATCTAGATTTCTCTAGATCTAAATGAAGATTGCGGATGTCTTTTCAATGAACGATCGTTTTTCCTCCGTTTTGGAGTTGGAGGAATTACAATTTGAAGAAAAGAATGTCATAATTTCTCTCGAGCAGTCATTCTCTCTATTTCTCTCTCGCTCTGTTGCTCGCATTCTCTTTTTCTTTGTTTGTCTCTGTCTTTCTTTCTCCCCACCTATTTCCCACTAGACTTAGACGTCTATATATCTCTCTCGTTCCCTCCTGCCAACTTGGGCATGTCATACATTTTGCTAGCACTTCCCCCCTGCTCTCTCTCTCTCTCTCT